TCATCATCATTTCCCCCACCATCCGCTTTGAGTGCGCGGTGATAAGTTTTCGATTTTTAATATCTAATTATGTTGCTACTATGATGTGAAACGTACATGCGATGGAGTTACTTTAGGAAATTATAGAGAGCAATTTGAACAAAGTAATCCAAATTAAAATTATCATTTGTAATAAAAGAGTGATCCTAAGAATTCTTAGTTTTAACTCGCTTAGGCAACAAAGAGTGAAAATGCTGACGATGTCCTCATCATACTATATGTTGGATACTACATATCTGTTCAACAACTAGCCTTAATCCAATGTTCGCTCCCGTTGTCTGAAGGGATAATTAACTATAGCGGCTTGCGCATATAAGAAACCTAAACTCAGATATACAGTCCTCGCAAAAGGAGGGTGAAATCTCTAGGAAGTGTCTTATCTAAAACTCAATATGCCTTCTGAAAATTTATCCCGAAACCTTAACATGTTAAACCTCTCCTCACCGCCAATAAAAAAAGGGGTCGCGGAGAGGTCGGGAGGCGAATTTTTTAAGCCCACAAGCTTTAACAAGTTTGCAATTTTTTATCATTGATGCATATGCAATTTTAGAACTCTTGTTGTACCAATCACAAGCAACCATAAGAGAAAATTTTAATTACTCATGATCAAGAATTAAGTTACAATGTTTTGAAAGAAAAATTCAACTTAGCTCCTATCTTAACTCTCCCTATATCGAGCGTTTTTTTGAAGTGAAAGTGAGCGCTTGTATGATGTAGATCGATGTGGTCCTTATTCAAGAAGGATGACCTCTAAAAATTTTTTTTCAAATATGCACAAAGAGGCGCGCCAAAAATGGATGACATTAGCAAGAATTATGCCATCATTTTATCACTACAGCATTGGGAGAACAATCTTATACACCAGGAGTTTACAAAGCAACCACCACGCACTCAAATATATAAACTCCCAAACAAATCATTCCCGAATACATTCGCGATGGATTTTTTTTTTCTTGTAAAAGTTTATTTTCCTCTTCAAAAGCCAATCTAGCCACTTGAACAAGGTTGTTAAAGCTTCAAGTAGCCAAGTATCACTTCTCATCACCCTGCAGGGTGAGCTCATGGGAATTGATGGCTCAAGGATCAATCATCAATATTAGAATGATAAGATTTTAGCATAATTTGGAGCCAATGCCGCTAGCACAGCAGAATGAATGACATCGAAATTCAACACGATATATGCATTGGGAGAACTATCTCATACACCAGGAGTTTACCAAGCATCCACTGAGCACTCAAATATATAAAGTTCCAAACAAATTAGTCCTGAATACACGCGTGATGGATTTTTTTTTTTCTTGTAAATGTTTACTTTCCTCTTCAAATGCCAATCTGGCCACTTGAACAAGATTGTTAAGTTTCAAGTAGCCAAGTTGCACTTCTCATCACCCTGCAGGCTGAGCTCGTGGGAATTGATGGCTCAAGGATCAATCATCAATATGAGAATGATAAGATTTTAGCATAATTTGGAGCCAATGCCGCTAGCACAACAGCATGAATGACATCAATATTCAACAAGGTTTTTTCTTCAAGGGTATCAGGTTTGTCTTATTGTGCGATAGAAAAGTCCCCCTCAAACTTAAGTGAAAATTCTATAAGTTGAGTTGAAAATTTTTTTCCCTCCTAGTTCGGCTCCCCTTGGCTGCCTTTTTCCTTTCCCCTTCCCTATATCTCTTCGGTTTTCTTCCTGGTGCTATTTTCCCGTGGCTATTTCTCCCTTGCTGGGTGCTGGTTCCAGTCTCTTGCGCTGCCCCTTCGGTTTCCTCCATGTGCTGGTCTCGTGGCTGCTTTACCTCCCTTTGCTGGGTGCTGATTCCAGTCCCATGTGTTGCCTTTTCGGTTTCTTCCTTGGCTGCTTTCGCTTGGGCTGCTTTTACCCGGTTCTCTGTGTTGCCTTTTCAGGTGATGTTCTAGATTAAATGCTAGCCTTTTTGTGGCTCTTTCGGTGCTGTTTTTGGAGTTAATTGAGGCTATTTAGCTGCCCTTTTTTCTCCTATAAATATAAGGTGTTTTGTATGAATAAAAAAGATTATGTGTGCAGATTTTTGGAAAGAAACCTGAGGGTTTTCTTTTATAGCTTGCGAGCTATGTATCCCCTTCTCCTTCTTCTAGGATAACTTGAGAGTTATGCATTTTTCGTCTTGGCTTCTAACCTTCTCTCCGCAAGTGTCCCCCCACATGTATCTTTCTTCTCGACGATTAGCAAGCAAACTTAAGTGTATGTTTATGTTTATGTTTTTGTTTGTGTTTGTGTCAAAGTTTGTAAGAGTCTTTTATCTTATAAAAAGTTGTATTTTATCGTATTTTGTCTAGTTTTGAGTATTTTATATAATTTTCTATTATCTTAGGAAGTGTATCTCTAGCTTGCAAAAATTATGGGCTTTTCCTAATTTTTGCATGCATCAATTTGATATCAGAGGTTAGGTGTGTCTTCCTAGGTTTTGGTGTCATGTTAGTTCTCATGTATGTGAGTGTCATGTGAGTTTTGTTTGTGAGTCATATTAGTTTTAGTTGTCATGTAAGTTTTAATGAGGCTTGGTTGTATCCATTAAATGGTCGATCCTAAAATCGACAACGGGTTCATTTACAATGCTCAAGGTAAAGTCGGTATTCTTAAATCACCTTTCTTCAACTTTGTTCCAGAGACAGATCAAATTGTGGAGGAATATGTGGATAGAATAATTTTTCAACTTGCTGCCATCATCGAGGAGCAAATTTCTTATGTCCATTGGATGATTGTCGCTAAGGAAAAGAAATCTTCCGAAGATGAAAATCAATTTTCTTTGCAAGCAACCTCATCGGGAGATGAGTTCTTTCAACCGAATGAGAATTGACGTAGGCAAAGGGGGTCAAAATAAGTTGAGTTGAAATTTTTTCCCCTCCTGGTTCGGCTCTCCTTAGCTGCCTTTTCCTTTCCCCTTCCCTGTGTCTCTTCGGTTTTCTTCCTATGTTTTCCCGTGGCTAGTTCTCCCTTGCTGGGTGCTGGTTCCAATCTCCTATGCTACCCCTTTGGTTTCCTCTGGTTGCTGGTCCCGTGGCTGCTTTACCTCCCTTTGTTGGGTGCTGATTCTGGTCCCTTGTGCTGCCTTTTCGATTTCCCTGGCTGCTTTCCTATGGGCTGCTTGTACCCGGTTCTCTGTGCTGCCTTTTCAGGTGTTGTTCTGGATTAAATGCTATCCTTTTTGTGGCTCTTAGGGTACTGTTTTTGGAGTTAATTTGGGTTGTTCGGCTGCCCTCTTTTCTCCTATAAATATAAGGTGTTTTGTATGAATAAAAAAGATTATGTGTGCTAATTTTTGGAAAGAAACATGAGGGTATAGCTTGCGAGCTATGGATCCCCTTCTCCTTCTTCTAGGATAACTTGTGAGTTATGCCTTTTTCGTCTTGGCTTCTAACCCCTTTCTTCTCTCTGCAAGTGTCCACCCCACCAGTATCTTTCTTCTCGATGATTGGCAAGCAACTTTAGGTGTATGTTTATGTTTATGTTTGTGTCAGTTTGTAAGAGTCTTTTATCTTATAAAAAGTTGTATTTTGTCGTATTTTGAGTATTTTATGTAATTTTCTATTATCCTAGGAAGTGTATCTCTTGCTTGCAAAAATTAGGGGCCTTTCCTAATTTTTGCATGCATCACAAAATCATAAGACCAATCTCTCACAGAAGCCAAGTTCGATTTTTACAAAATAGTTGACCAGTTGAACAGTCGTTCGCCATTCTCCATTATGAACACCAAGTAGTCAAATGCCTCTATTAATCTCAAGTAGTTAGCACCGGGTAACACACAAAAGAGCATAAGATTTAGTAGGGCAAATCACCCAGTTGCATCATGAAGTAAAATAAAAATTGTTGGTCATCTAATGAGACATATAAAAAATCAACATATCCCCACCGATGCCACATCATTTTTAAGGATGGAGATTTGGTTATGATCCATCTCACCAAGAATTACTACCCTGCCGGATACCCTGCCGGCACATACAAAATATTACAAGCAAAGAAAATTGGCCCATTTTGGTTTCTGGAAAGCAAAAAAAAAGTTGATAATGCGTACATCATTGATCAACCCAACCATTTGAATAATCCAAAAAACTTTTAACGTCAAAGACATCTATAAGTATTATTGATTGGATGCAACCAATATCTATGAATTGAACTCTGGGTCGAATTCTTAAGAAAATCGGACGATTTGATGCATCAACTTGCCTAACTCAAGTTAGAGCCAACCATGGTGGGTGTCTCTAGCTTCTTTTAACCTTCTCCTACTCCATTATTTTTGTTCTAAGTTAGTGAATTAATCACTCTTTTATTTTGTGCATTTCTTTTCAAATCAGACTCCCCAGTTGTCCTTTGCAGGAGGTTGTTATCGCATACATGTAATGGAAATAGTGGCTTAATGGAACAGCTAGAAAATTATTATCATACTGCTCTTTGTCTTCCTTTCCAATTCCACGATTCCATTGAAGAACCCTTATTCTTTAATCTAGCGTCTCTTCCGCCGGTCATTGCGCCAGATATCAATGCTGTCAACAAGGATCAAAGATCGTTTTATCCTTTTTCCTTCTCACGTGCTAGGACAATTCTTTCTCATGTCCTGGACAATCATGACGACTTACATCTTGATTGCACCTATAATATATTATAAATGTTTCAATAGCTGCGATTTAAAGATGTAGATGAACAAACCCACTGTTTTCAGTCGTTATTAAGATAAAAACCAAAAATATTAGTGAAGCGACTGTCTGCCAAGAATTTTGGTATTCATGTGTTAAACGACTCACTCTAGATTGTTTTTAAGTTCTAGATTGTTTTTTTCTTAATAAACGTTCTCGTGAGAATGTGAGATTTATTATTCTATCATCAAATTTACAAAACCTTTATCATCTCTGATCGTCTACACTAATTTTGAAGCAAAACCAAGTAAATTTTTTCAAAGCAAAAAACAGGTAGAAAAGGGAATCGGCACCTGCTTGACCTAGCAACATGATTCCAAAGCCTGCAACAAGATGAAAGTAAGCATGTCAAGCTTCAATAGTTCACATTTCAAAGGAATGAATGCGCGTAAAAGTCTATCTTAGAGTCACATACTGGACTATTAATTTGCAACACAAGTAAAGGTGAACACTCACTATATGCTGTGCAGGTTAAAACATTTTATCCCAGAATCAAAAGAAGATGGTCAAGAATCGCTACAATTATCCCAGAATAAAAGATGGCTAAAGTGCCATGAGGTCATGAACACTCACTATATGTTACGCAGGTTAAACATTTTATCCCAGAATAAAAGAAGATGGTCAAGAATTACTCTCGCTCTCTCCTAAACATTGCCTATAGGTAACCATTTATCACCCTCCAAAGGAATCACTACTAAATGGATGAGATTAAAAGTACCGCAAGAAATTAAGGGTGAACAATCCATAGAGAATGACCTTAAACTCTCTGTGATAGAAGTAAACATTTTGTTGAGAAGGCTACTCAATATCCAAGAACATCAAATTTATAAAAGAAATAAAAACTTGAATCTGGATGGGAATTATACTATTTTTTTCTAGCATACAGCTATCCTAGTAATTTGGACAAGGCATAATTATAAAATATAAATTGCTAACTCATGTCATTTGCCAAAACAGCACAAGTCGAACTAAAAGAAAAATCAATATTGGTGCTCAGTGCAATGGCTCCAAAAGCATTTTAAACTCTAGAGCTAAAGAAAAGATAAGGATTTAAGTGGAAAATTGTCAAGCACCAGTCAAACACTTCCATTTGAAATAATGAATATGAAAACAAAAGTAGAACTTTTAACAATCTTCACCAAAACTTTGTTAATTTAAATATATATGTCTAAAATAACTGCAATTCATCAACAAGCAAGGTGCTTTCACAGACAAAAAAATTCAAAATGCCCATATTGGTCCTATTGGACTGAATACTAGCAGCCATTTGTAGGCCATTAAACTTCAGTTCAACAAAGCTGGTTCTCAAATCAAAAAATACAGTTATAAAATGTCACGACCCGGCCCGGTTAGCTCGCAAGTGCGAGGCGGGAACAGAGATCGGACATAAAGAAGATAAAAGAAACTTTACAAAACAATTAATATAACTCCAAAATGAAGCATCAACATAAAGAAAGAGCCACTACAATTTCCAAACATAAATTTTTTCTTTTCTTCTTTCAAAGATCACCAATCAATGGATTTAGCATTAAGATTACAAAAGATACAAAAGGGGATCCATAAGTATAACATTTTCCTCTTACATTCTAATTCTAATCTTTCAATACAAATCATCAAAACACAAAAGAACCTACCGCCCGTCGTCTCCCTACGACGGTAGGTGTGCGGTGGTTGGTTGGCCATTTACCCCTTCCTAGATCCTCCAGAAAAGTATTCCCACAACGAGTGTGAGTTTTACACTCAATAGGTGAGAATGAAAATTCAATTAAACATAAAATCAATAAGAGAAAACTATAACATGCTTTGGAAAATTTTAACAGAAGAATCATTGATCATAAAGTAAGTTGTGCTCAAGGAAAAACATGCCTTTACTTCATCTTTCAAATACATAATCCTTTCATAACCTTTTCCTTTCTTTCTTTCCTTTCATTTTAAAACATTGAGGCTCATTTAATCTCAATCACATATGACAATGTATGAAAAACATTCATAATAATTTAGTACGTATATATATATATATATATCACCCGTCTCAGGAGTATCACTTGTACTGATCAGGTACAATAAATTGGCCATTTCCTTTTCCATAGGTTCAAAAGAACCAA